TTACATTTTAATGAAATGAATTTATAAGAAAAATAGAAATTATGGTTTTGCCAAACATCTGATTATTTTTTCAGGGCTTAATTAAATATTCTCGATTTTAATAAGGACCTATTCCCAAACAGTGTTTGAAATAACAGTGTGCCTGACCGCCCGAGATGCACAAATTTTGCTGTGGGTTTACAAATTTGCACATGTCAACACCCAGCTGGACTTGTTTAAAGTTTTCATTAATTAAAATTTATCAATTTGATTAATCGCTTCCAAATCAACTAATGGTATCATGAGCAGATACAGGATTTGTGATTAAAAAGGGGGGGATAACTTTGTTCAGGCAAGGGGTCTAGGTAGTTATGTACCAAAGTATGACACTATTAATGCTAGTCATATCATAGTTTGAATGTTGATCTCAGGCACTAATAACTAAGACAACGAATTCAGCAGGGAACTATATAAACAATAAATAGCAAACATTATCTAACGTGAAATGATTAAATTAATATATGGTATTTTGGATTTAGTTTCATGAATAAAATACGCTATTTTCCAGTTCACTTCCAACTTTACCTGCATGAAATTGACAGCAATGCAATATATTTCAATATTTATCGCAATATGTCATCAAATATTGCAATATATATATCGCAATACAATTTTTCTGGCGATATCTACCCCTAACTTTTATAGTCATTTGGGAGGCCGGGGGGGTGGGGGGTGGGGGGGGGTGGGGGGGTTATCATTTGGTGAGCTCATTGCTCACAGTACCTCTAGTTTCAAAAATCAATTTTACAAAAGACAATTATTTTCTCAGGCTGGTAGATTTTTTTTTAGCAGGACTGATGACTTTTACTACCAGTCAGCCCTGTATGTTTGCCATCAATTTTTCTTGAGTGTCCCCTATAGAAATTTTTAATTTGAAAAAAAATAGTCAATAGTGTCTCTGTTAAGACATTAGTCCAAGCTATGCATGAAATACCTGATATATATATGACATCCATAGAGGCTCCGATACATAGAAAAAATAATGCTCCATCCAGTCTCTGCTGTGGCTTTCATTCTTCTTGTTATGACTTCATGTATGCTGAGGTCGTCGTCGAGGAATTCTACCAGTCGACTGAGTATATCATACAGATCACTACTAGTACTAAGGGAGTATCGATGGAAAGGAGAGATACTCATCATACTGTAATCTCCAGCTAGTGTTCAAATTCCAGTACAAAATCAAATTCCCACCCACCCACCCCCCCCCCCCCCCCCCCCAAAAAAAATTAACTGAATTTAGGTGGGGTTTTTTTATTTTGGTGTTATTGTTAAACAAGTTAGCCTTTTCAAAACACTCAAACTCTGTCCTAGCTCGTTTAGGAAATGAAATTTTGTTTTTGTCAGATAAAATTAAGCAAATTGCAGGCAGTTATTTTTTTTATCGTAGGCTTGCATTTTTCTAATTAAAATTGAGACTTACATGTTCCTAGGATGTATGAAAACCAACAAATTTCAAATACAAGATGAAATCACACTTTCTTTTCATCCTCACCTTCTAAACTGAAGAGTATAAAGTACACTCTTTCCAACTCCTTTTACTGAAGAGTGCCAAGGGAGATAACTAGAATTTCATGATTTTACATAATTTAAAATCACAATATCTATTCGTAATTAAAATAACCCATGGGTTTTTTAATTGATTTTTACTCTTTGATACTAGATGTTCAAAATTTTATAATTCACATTCAAGGAGAGTGCGGGCCTTCTTAAAAAATCGACTGCACGTACAGACACTTTTCAATGGATAGTGTTGACTGTTTCAGTACAATTGGGTATATATTGATTTCATTTTTTAATCAACCATGCATGAAATCCATTTATAACTGTGATTAAGTATTTAGTTTGATGTATCTTAATGTAAATATGATAGTTTTTGAAAAATCTATCACTATCATGAATCACTTATTTTCATTTCTGCCTGGTTCTTATAAATAGCTGTACTTAAGAATACAGTTAAAATTTGTGCAAGTGCAAGGATGTGTCAATCAAACCCGCCCAAAAAATTAAAATTTTAATAACTTTTAAATGAAATAAGATTTTTAATTAATTTTTGTGTGAAATGCTATTAAAATATATAAGTCGTAATATTATAGAAAAAATATAAAATTCAAATCTGTGTCCAAGTACCTTTAAATTTTCATTCAAAGTTTCACAATAATCGGAATTTAAATGAGAAAGATATGTATAGAATTATAGATTATTTAGAATAGTTACATAAAGGAGAAATTGACAATTTCATAATATTTCAGAACTTTATTATTTGCACTAAATCAACCAAAATATGTTTTATTTACTTTATAAAATAAAATATGTTTACCAGATGGACATTAATTTCTTCCCAGTCATCAATTAAGCCAGTTCTGTATGGCATAAAGCAACCAGGAATCTGTTTCAGTGCTGTGCATTCCAGTGGATAGGACCGGTTGACCTCGTGTCTGACACCAACTGACTTGTAGACATCGACAGGGTTAATTCCTGTCTGACTTTGGGCCTTAAAAGCCAGTATCCAACTATTGTTTTTCAGGTCTAAAGGCATCCATGTTGCAAAATTTATTAATAAAGATAAACAATTTCAAATTGCCTTTGTTGCAAATACTAAATCATATAAATTATGAAACATGACACTTAACTTTAATTAAAACAAGAGGCACAGGGGCCACATTGCTCACCCAAGCAACTGGCTAGGTAAAAGCAAAAATCAGTTAAGTATTGAAAAGTTTATAAGATATACACAATTAGGTTTCTAAGGGGGGGGGGGGTATTTGAAGAAACTAAAATCTACAGTTTCTAAGGATGCTTTTGAATTAATATTACACATTATGAGAGTTCCTGAGAAGATGATTTTTCCTATGTATTAAAATTTTGATCCCCCTTTGTTCCCCCACCCTACCCATGGGGGTCATGATTTGTACAAACATAAATTAACATTTATTTAACAGAGGATGCTTACATATCATTATGACCAATCATGGGTTTGCTGTTTTTGAGAAAAATATTTTTTCTCATGTATTCCTATGCTAAACTTTTGATACCACAATGTGGCCCCACCCTACCTTTGGGGATCATAATTTGAACAAATTTTGATCTTCACTACCAGAGGATACTTCCGCATGAGTTTCATCTTTCCTAGCCCAGTGGTCCTTGACCTAGCCCAGTGGTCCTTGAGAAGATTTCTCAAGATTTTTTCCTATACATTCCTATGTTAAACGTTGATACCCCATTGTGGCCCCTCTCTACCCCCGGGGGTCATGGCTTGAACAAATTTGAATCTACACTACATGAGGATGCTTCCATCTGAGCTTCAGCTTTCCTTCCCCAGACGTTCTTGAGAAGAAGATTTTAAAAGATTTTTCCTATGCATTCCTATGTTAAACGTTGATACCCCATTGTGGCCCCTCTCTACCCCCGGGGGTCATGGCTTGAACAAATTTGAATCTACACTACATGAGGATGCTTCCATCTGAGCTTCAGCTTTCCTTCCCCAGAGGTTCTTGAGAAGAAGATTTTAAAAGATGTTTCCTATGCATTCCTATGTTAAACGTTGATACCCCATTGTGGCCCCTCTCTACCCTCGGGGGTCATGGCTTGGACAAATTTGAATCTACACTACATGAGGATGTTTCCATCTGAGCTTCAGCTTTCCTTCCCCAGAGGTTCTTAAGAAGAGGATTTTTAAAGATTTTTCCAATGTATTCCTATGTTAAACTTTGAAACCATATTGTGGCCCCACCCTACCCCATGGGGTCATGATTTGAATTTTGAACAAACTTGAATCCTCACTACACGACGATGCTTCTATCTGAGTTTAAGCTTTCCTGGCCCAGAGGTCCTTGAGAAGATTTTTAAAGTTTTCCTATGTATTCCTATGTTAAACGTTGATACCCCATTGTTGCCCCACCTTGCTCTCGAGGGTCATAGTTTGAACAAACATGAATCTACACTATATGAGGGTGTTTCCAAATGAATTTCAGCTTTCAGCTTTCCTTGCCCCTTTGTTCTTGAGAAGAAGATTTTCAAAAGATGCCATTAATTTTTCACGAATTCAATGGAGGAGGGCGTGGCCCTTTATTTAAACAAACTTGCATCACCTTAACCCAAGGATTCTTTGTGCCAAGATTCGTTAAAATTGGCCCAGTGGTTATTGAAAAGAAGATATAAATGAGAAAAGTTTACGACGACGACGACAGACAAAGGACAAATTTTGATCCAAAAAGCTCACTGAGCCTTCACCTCATGTGAGCTAAAAAAGAGACTTACATTCAATGCAATTGTTGCATCGTTTTTCATCTACAAAAAACAACAGATTACGCATTGGGAAACTAAACTTAAGGTTAATAAGTTCAATAACAAAAGATATTTTGCGTAAAATTAATGTGGAAATACTATGTAATCTGTATATTAAAATTCCCGCTTTGATTAGTGCGAAAGCGCTTAATACCACATGGAGTGATTTTTATTATGATAGATATGTTCATTGATTTGCTTAATGCTTTCACACAAATCAATAAATGATGCATGATAAAGAAGGAAAGGACTTAAAAGGATATGGCGGTGATTAATGACTTTAATGGCAGTTTGCTGATAGATTGCATTTGCATAAAATGTCATTATAAAAATCATAAAAAACTTATTAACATGAATTAGTAGCTTGATTCAAGCTTCTTCTATTATAAGTACTGAAATCATAATGTCATGTAAGAGTCTTTAAAGTAACTTAGCTACAAAACTGAAATTAGGCAAAAGCTGTTTCTAATTATGCAAAAGTTTGCCAAAAATCTTTCAAAAAATTGCTCCCAAAAAGAAGTAAGTACAAAAAGTAAAAATAACTGATCAAAGTACGTCACAAGAAAGCATTTGAAAAGAAAAGAAACTTAAAATGGAACTTTAATTAACAAGTTTGATGTTCATAAAAGTAAGCTTGAGGCTTGTTACAATGAAAGTTATAGACAATTTACCTTGACAATCTTTCCCGACAAAGCCACTGGTACAGTTACACGTGTATCCTCTTATCCTAGATTGGTCCGCCACACAAGTCCCATTCTGACAATCATGGTTGTCACATACAGCAACTATTTGAACAAATATTTAAGGTCTAAAATTCTTCACTCATGGTGCTATAATAGCATAATTAAAATTTAAATCACACATTTTACCTTGATTAAGGAATAAAATGACGACAATTTTGCAGCACGGAATTGATTGTCATATAATTATTGGTAATAATTGGTGGCAGGTGTGTCAGTATTGTTTTTTTTTATAACAACAAACTCGGAAAAACACGCTTCGACTTAATTCGTTCTGTAGGACCAAAAAGATGATACGCACTTTTTTTTTTCTTTAAGATTGCTATTTTTGTATCAAAAAATATTTACTCAGCTATGTTAAGGAAGGTAGGATTTCACATTTGTGGTGCACTATTTTGGAAGTTTAATTCTGATGTCATGAAAATTGATCAAGCCAGAAAAATCAAATTAACAACATGATAATGTGTAAATAATAGTATGAATTTATACTCACAGTCAATAGAAACGCAACACTCTAATTTTAGGGTGAAAATTATTCACGGAATAAAATTATGTACCAAAAAGTTAAGGCATCTTTTACTTTGCCAAATCAGTTATTCAAAGATTGAATGAATTTCATTCTATTACCGGAAGTTGATTTTATCCCTCTTAATTTAACATATAACTTTTAAAACACCCCTCTTTCGACCATTTAATTTAAACGTGCTGATCCGCCATGTACAACATACGCAGCACGATTTCTACCATGAATTAGATTCATCAATGTCTTTATCTGAGCGAAATAAATATTTTTGGACAATTTGATATGCCTGTTTTTCAGATACCGAGATCGATTTTTTTTTCTTACTTTGGGTAGTTTAGTAACCTTTAGACTTCCGGTCAAGGTACTGTTTAAATGCTTTTGAAACACATGAGCCCGAAATTTTGTTATGTAGTGTATATTTCATTTGCATTTGTAGTTCTTCTTTTTCTTTATTTTGAGAATGTCCTGCATTAGCAATGGAAATGCATGCCTTCAGTCATTTCTAGGAAATACAGGTATCACATCCGGAAAAGAAAGAGTGATAATATTCCGAAATTTTAGTACAATATTTATGATTACTGTGACTGCAACGTTATTGTTGACAAACCATTCGTGTAGAATCGTTCGTGTATCGTGCGTGATCGTTCGTGTAACGTGCGAGATCGTGCGTATATAAGACTCAATCATTTGCGGTTTTAATCGTGCGCGATCGTGCGTTTAGAAAAGAGTAAATTTCATTTTGTAAGTTTTAATCGGAATGTTATTTGTTAAACAAGCATTTCATTTGTTTTTTTTAATAATTTTTAATCCAAATGATATTAATGAAGCGCAGTTTATATAATTGAATGCAGAACAAACTAATTATCGCTCATAAACAAGCAATAAAGTAAGTCGTACACTATTATGTTCTCGTCAAATAGCGCGATTTGTAATATTGTGATAAGCCGTACTTCAATGTTTAACGTTTTCTTCTCTGATTTTCATTCTTGTTTACTGCTAATTGTGGTCAAGATATTTTTAAAATCAGCTCATCAAAAATAAATTGTTTTACAAACTTAAATAAAAGCATTTCTCAAATATGAATGCTTACATGATTATTTAGTCGGCGAATAATTGTATATGCACTCGACATGATTTTCGGGAATTCTTTAATCAGTGTTTTTCTCTGTAACGTACATTTAATTCTTTTAATTATTTTCTTTAATTTCTGCTAATAAAAAATGTGAAATAATTGGCAATACTTATGGATATACATGTAATACGTAATTCAAATCATTCCATGCTGCGATTTTTTTTAATCGTGTCCCCCTTTCTGCATCTTATGGAATCCAATTCAATAAAATACGGTCCAACTACATGTGCATTTTCTGATAGAGAAAATCCGTTTCTTATGTCGGAGAATTACCTATTAAAATTTTAATGATTTATGATCTAAAATAATAAATAAGTCTTACGTGTGTTAGGTTACAGAAATACCCATTGCCGTTTTTTTCCGCAAAGTCTATGAAATAATATTGATAAGTCTTTGAAATCTATCATCAGTATTAAGTCGTATTTCGTTTTGAAACATCGATTCCTTAATATTTTGAACTATTTTTAGTGAAGAAACGTGCGTTTGCGTTAGCAATCGTGTAAGATCGTGTAACGTGTAGAATCGTTTGCGTGAAGGATCGTTCGTGTAACAGGTTTAATCGTGCGTTAATCGTGCGGAATCGTTCGTGTAACGTGATCGTTCGTGTAAGTTGTCAACAATAACGTTGCAGCCACTGTAACAGGTACAAAACCATAAAACCCCAAAATATAGTCAATGATTTTATTTAAAATGCTAATTTTTTTTATTTCTGTTAAGAGGGCCAAAATCAGCTTCCGGTTATGGAATGAAAATCATTCAATCGTTAAATAAATGTTTTGGCAAAGTAAAAGATGTCGTAACTACTATATTACATAGCCATATTCCGTATATAAATTTCACCCTAAAATTGGGGTGTTGCCTTCCCATTGATTGTGAGTATACTTATTTTATCAATTATTAAATCTTGTTAAATTGCAATACTTGATAGCAGTATGGTCGAGTAATAGAAGAAAGTCTTTCGTCAAATATGACTTCACCAGCCTTGACATAACGCAGCACAGGTAATCCAGAGGACTACATTCACTGGTTTAATAATTATAAAAGTGCTATAATAAATATAATATCATCGTTTTAACCTAATCGTTAATGCTAAAAGAAAACAAATCATTAAATACAATTTGTATAAAATATGAATTTATCTAGTTGCATTGGAGCTGCATAGGGACAAGGAATGTACAAAATATCGGTAGAACAATAAGCGTTGTCGTGATTTACATCTAAATTACAAGGGAATAAAATCTTTTGTTTGAGCGGAAATAGGAACATTTATTGCTTTATAGTGAATATTTTGAAAATTGCTGGGAGCTAATACTGGTCTGTATGACATGATATTTATTCCTTTCAGATTTATATAAGCGAAGTTGACTTTTTTTTTTAGATATTATAAGCATTTTCGGCAAAATTGTCAGTACTTCCCAATCAGCACAGACTAGCTCCCAGCACTTCTTAGGTAAAGGAAATAAAAATCTTTAAATGTGTATCTTTTTTTCTTTTTTACATTTACGTTATATTTTATCTTATATTTTGTCCCATCTTTGAAAATTAATGGCGTTGTCCGTCTGATACTTACGTAAATGTCAATGGTCAAGGACGAATTATTTTGAAGTATACTGTATTTACGTTATCTGTTGACTTAAATAATATTTGAGGAGCTTGTTTTATTGATGTTTTGGAAAATTTGAGTTGAATTTAACAGACATTCATCTCGACATGTACTGCATACATCGCGGTATAAAGTACATGAATTCCTACTCTGTACAAAAATAACGGATTGTACTGAGGCTTCAATGTAAAATATTATTTAAACAATCGTAATTAAAAGTATAAAAACTAAATGTTCTTGTTTTTTTTTTAGAATTTATCAATGTGTAAACAAGGGGTCATTCTTCTCACAATGTTTACATGAAAGTGCTTCGCTTTTTTATTTAGTGTGCGAGTACAAAAGGCCTGAGTTGAAACATCGATGAATCTACAAAAAGAACCTTTAATCCTATATTGAATACAAAAAAAACTACACGACCTTTCCAAGTCAGACTAAGTGGAAAAATCAATAACATCAACAGTATCGATAATATTTGACACTAGAACAGTTTGAGGTTCATGAAAGTTAGCTTATCTTGTTGTAATGAAGGTTATAAATAATATACCTTGACAATTGTCCCCGACAAAGCCAATGGTACAGTTACACGTGTATCCTCTTATCCTGGATTGGTGGGCCACACAAGTCCCATTCTGACAATCATGGTTGTCACATACAGCAACTATGTGAACAAATATTCATAGAATTTGTAGAATAGAAATGTTATTTGTAGAATAGATTTGTTACTTTATTGATGAACCAAAGGGACCAGAACGTTCATAAGAAAATATCTTTTTTAGAGGTTCATGGACATGTAACAAAAAGTCGGTAACGTAATAAGTAGGGGCGATATAGTAGATTAGGTCACGTACCGACTTCATGTCATAACCCAGTGAATCTCTAAGCATATTTTATTACGTGGACCCTGAGGTCTATGCATATAAGCAAGGTTTAACCGGATGACATGGGCAAAAGTTAGGCTACGCATGCGCGAGAATGCTAGAGAGTTCGCCGTTTAGACAACTTGCCCGTAGAATACTTTAAACGTATTGCATTTGGCTGTGTATTCTTTTTAGCGCTTTTGGGAGGAAGGAACTTTCGCTAATCCAAGTACAACGCTAAATGTCTTGCACATATACACATGAATAGGAACACTGAGAAATGCGCTAAATCAAATCTACGCTAACTTGTTCAGAAATCAATTTCCGCCTAACATCGTACACGCTAAATATAATACATTTAAAGTAACTCGCCCTATTCAAATTAGAATATGATAATCATTGGCAAATCTTGCTTTTATTCGCGGATGCAAATTTCTCTATGATACATAATTATACCCGCACTTTCTAAAGAAAGTTCAGGTATATTGTTATTACTCATGTCCGTCCGTCCCTCCGTCCGTCACACTTTTCTTCCCTGAACTCCTCCTACATTTTACACAGTAGCCTAATCATCTTTTGAGAAATGGTTGTTGGTGTCATGTACATGTGCAGTAAGGTTCCGGAATTTTTAATTTGCCAGGTGGGAGGGGGGGGGGGGTCAAATAGGGTCGAAAAATGACGTTGTCTATGCAAAAAGCCCCGTCTTCCCTGAACTCTTCTTACATGTGACTCAGTAGCCTAATCATCTTTAAAGAGATGGTTGGTGATGTCATGTAGATGTGCAGTAAGGTTTTGGAATTTTCGGAAGTTTCGGAAATCGGGATGAAATGGTTTTAATATTTGTATTTTCATGTGGATGGCAAAAAGAGGTAGGAAAAAATGACCCCTGCCTAATCCAGGGGTCATGATTTGTACAAACTTGAATCTACAGCTCTTGAGAATGTTTCCATATTAATTCTGCTCTTCTTTTTCTTGAATTGAAGGATTTTGAAGATTTCTTTCCTTTTATTCCTAAATGAAACTTTGATTCCTAATTGTGGCCTGACCCTAGCCTTTGAGGTCATGATTTGAAAAACTAGAAATATGTCTATAGGACATGAATGTCCCGACGGATATATATTACTAATGCTACATGAAAATTTGTGTTAGTACATGTATATAAAGTTTGATAAAAATATCTTGAACAGTTTCTTCAGAATTGAAACTAAAATCTAAATAAATTGGATATAGATAATAAATTCTCACCAAATTATGTATAAGTGCATGCTAAGCATAAAAATGTCTTTAATTATTTCTTTAAAACTAAGCAAAATACGAATGAAAGAGGAAGGAGGTCAAGGTCAAAGGAATTTGCAAGATGAAGTTTTTGATGCAGTTGAATAGCTCTCACTAATACATATCAGCATATTATGTTTGACAAAAATATCTTGAATGTTTTTATGAAACTGAGCTTAACATTTTTTTAAGAAAAGCGAGGTTAAAGAAAAGGTTGGGGTCAAAATGTTGTTGCAGTTGAAAAGCTTACATCAGTATGAATTTACTATTAGCATATGAAGTTTGATAAAAATATAATTAATGGTTTATTTAAAATTTAGATAAACATATATTCTAAAAAGTGAGTTCAACGTCGAAGGAAAATTCAAGGCAAAATAAGTTTATGCATTAATAGCTCTCAGCAGTATGTATCAGCATATGAAGTTTGATAGTATATCTTGAATTGGTTATTCAAAACTGATCTAGACATTAATTTTAGAAAAGTAGATGTCAGCACTGGAATGCAATATAGATTTAGTCATGGTGGCCGCTGAGTTGAACCATGGCGCAGCTCGTTTACCCATGGCATATAAATATTTAACCATGACTGGCCGCCATGGTAAAATCACATGCGGAGAACCCCGGAACTAAATGAATATTCCACTTTTTTGAATCGAAATGATGACAAAATATCATTTCAATATTTCAATGCAAACAAAATGAGAATCTTTTTACCGCTATTTTTAATAAATGACTTCATAAAAATATCTTATTCATATATAGAGACAATCAAAAGAAATTTAAAAAAATAGTGAAAGTAATGTTGTGAGATGTGTATTGTTTCATCATATATATTTTAGTAACATTAAGTTTCTTGAACATTCCAGAGTGGTCAACATGTTTGGTCATTTTATCTAGAACATTCTTAAATTTTGTGCATGTCCAGATTGTTCCAGTAATATCATGTTTTAACAATTTCTAGAATATTCTAGATTTATGATACTGTATAAATACCCTGTCAATTCGATGCATAGATATACTTTGTCGTATAAGCACTATTGAGATATAACTGGGATATATTTTCCCTGGGACATTGTGTGCAGCAACGGACACTCTGATGTATGTATTTTTAGATTCTTGCTAAGTTTGTACTTTATGTTTGATATATTTATTATATATTACTGTAAATAAATTATTGTTAAGTTTAAATTGTGTTATTGATCTTTGCTGGCATTTCGGGTAATTCTGACCCATAACAGAATATCATCGAAGAACCTGTAATACTACAAAGGTTTCTTCGGTAATAGAGTCTGCTCTTTAAACTACAACTCCTTCGGTGTTTTCTTTTTATTTTTACTGTTTTATTATCCCGATAAAATTTGGCCAGTGTAAGCGTGAATTGTAAGCGTAAATGAAACTCTATTGTACATTAAGATATCTAGGAGCTGCGCAATGAAATATACATGTAGATTACCTAGATTATTTTGTAAATAGACAAGGCTATGCAGTGAATTTTGCTCTTCTGCTATTTTTCATGATGCTCGCTATAGTAATTCAGTGCATGTTTATACACGGCACTTGTTTTCAACAATAATTAGATCCATAATACAAACACTTCCTTTTCGAGTCTGACTGCAGTAGAAAATTAATAATGACACAGAATCAAAATATTCAACAGATTCTAAAAGAAGGTTAATGTTTATAAAAGTAAGTTTGAGGCTCGTTGCAATGAAAAATATAGACAACATACCGTGACAATTGATAACATTTGACACTAGAACAGTTTGAGGTTCATTAAAGTATGCTTGAAGCGTGCTGTAATGAAAGTTATAGAAAATTTACCTTGACAATTGTCACCGACAAAGCCGTTGGTACAGTTACACGTGTATCCTCTTATCCTGGATTGGTCTGACACACAAGTCCCATTCTGACAATCATGGTTGTCACAAACATCAACTATGCGAACAAATACTTAAATTAGGTCTAAAATCTTAACTCATGGTGCTAAAATCAATAATATCAACAGTATCAAAATATTTAATTGATTCTAAAAGAAGTTTGAGGTTCCTGAAAGTAATCTTGAGACTTGTTGCAATGAAAATTATATACAATTTACCTTGACAATTGTCTCCGACAAAGCCGTTGGTACAGTTACACGTGTATCCTCTTATCCTGGATTGGTCCGTCATACAGAACCCATTCTGGCAATCATGGTTGTCACATACAGCAACTGTGTGAACAAATACTTAAATATCTTAATTATGTAAATTTTATTCATGTTGCAAAAATAGCATGATAAGAAATTAAAGTAGAATAGATTTGTAACTTTATTGATGAACCAAAATGACCAAAATATATCATTTTACAATTAAGATAATTATCTTTTTTAGAGTTTCATGGGCATGTGACATAAAGTCGTTAACGTTATAACTAGGGGTTATATAGCAAATTAAGTAGGTCACGTAACGAGTAAGTTGCAACGTTGAGCAGCTATATAAACATCAATCAACTATCTTTCAACGTTGTTTCAATGCTGGGGCTTCAACGTTGAATTCGTAACCTTTTCCAACGTTGAATCAACGTTGAAGCTGCAACATGCTTTCAACGTTGAATGTATGTCATGTTTCAATGTTGAAACAACGTGGAAGATTCCACATTTTTTCAACTTTGAATATTTGCTGTCATTTCAAGGTTAAAGTAATGTTAAAATTGCAATGTAATTTCAATATTGATCATCTGTTAAAAAACAGATTTTAAGCACCTTATTTTTCATAGTCAAAATAGTGAGTGTTATTTAATTCTCAATAAAAGACAGATAATACACACACTCTTTTGTCAAAAAAAAATTAAAATTACACCATGGGTTTTGTTTCAAGTATCCTTTTTCGAATTATTCATGTACATTTTAAATAATTTCAAGTAACACGTCATAAAAACTAGAAGTACTGTGAGCAAAAGCTCACTAAATAATACCCCCGTCTCAAATATGAATATAATAGCAGTGTCCATGTTTTGCTATCGGAAACACAAAATATGTGCCGGATCAAAAAGTAAAATAGTAGGTTTACAATGGCAAAATGTAATAAATATGCTGTGAAAGTTTCATCAAATTTCATTGAGTGGTATTAGAGGAATCGACATGAGATGGGTACCCCAAAGCGTAACATACGGACAGACTGACGTACAGACGGACGAACAGACATTCCGATTACTATATACCTTACTGCTTTTCAAACGGGGGTATAAATATATACCTGTTTGAATAACAATATTCTACAAATTAATAAACCTTGATTAAGAAACAGATATTATCTGTAGCTATCATAAATGCGAGGACCTCCTCCCCGTCTCCAAATATATACATTCCGGGTTCGAAAATAATTTATTTGTCTTCTTTTATCATGTTCATAGATTAGATAGTTTACCTTTACATTTTCAAATGAAAACTCAAAAATATAGCATAAAATTCACTTTTGAAAATAACCATACCCGCAAAAAAATCATCTCTATCTTATAATATAGCTTTAGTCAGTAGCATGAGCAGAAAGGCCATGATTGTTTATCCTTATTCCGCACCTCTCATTGGCTTTCTTTTCCTTTAGCCAGAATCTTTAACTCCCTGTCGCAAAATCAGACTGTCACATTTTTTTTTCTTCATTTTTTTAAATTTTCCTTTTCTGAACCCCTTTGCTAGTTTAAATGTCCATTGTTATGCATTGTATTGTCACGGTAGCGACTAAGATAAGAGGTAGCTATAGCTTAGGGGTATCTTGTGGTGATTTATCGACTGAAATCTCAACAAAATTGAAGAAATAGATAATACAACTGTGAATGCAATGACTGATCCACTTTTTTTTGTTACGTTCGTTCATAAGATGTCAGTGTTTCTCTAATGTGCTCCAGTTCTATGCCGGTTATGGTTAATAAATTCATTAATTTATAAAAATGTCTCTCAATGCGCATTCAGTTTAATTTTAATTTTTCGGGACCATTGCACAAATAGAGATAGTAATATGAGTTTACCTTGACAATTGTCCCCGGCATAACCAGCCGTGCAGTTACACGTGTAACCTTGCAATCTGGTCTCGTCTGCTACACAGGCTCCGTTCTGGCAATCACGGCCGGTACATACATCAACTCTAGGAACTAATTTATAAAAGCTGTTGTGTATAAATCATTTACTAAATGTGCCAATATAGTTTTAAGTAAGAAATTTAAATTTCAAAAATCACAGTTGATAAGTTTTCTTAAATCTAGAAAACGTAAATAAGAAGAGACTAGATATATGTAAATGTATATATTTTAATGAAAAGAGACAGTAGAGATAAACTCCAGCGATCAAGGCTCTAAATAAATACAAGAGCCTCATATCAATTAATTCATGCTTATTAATGATATCATTTTCTTGAATCAATTGTATTTGTATGTCCCAGTTGCGGTCTTTGTCTTAAATAAAAACATAAGTGGAAGAAATTCATAGTCATGATAATTCAAATAGTTTCAAATAGTGTCAAATGCTAATGCCCTCAAAAATAACAATAGCAAGAGGAATTACATCTGTATATTAAGGCCATGAAGATAAGCAGAGATAAGATAAGACATGCAATTACATCATGAACATTTACTGAATAAAGAATGAAGCTAATTCCATGAAAATTCATTAACTTTTTTTTAAGAACGAATAAACTTATACAATATTTAATTCCTAAGATAATAAGAAAAGTTCTGATGAATTGATAAACATGCATATGTTCATCGACCCGGAGGAGCATCGCTACGTCATTTAACGTCATTTCAACCGAAGGTGGTTTCGCATGTAAAACGATCGGGAAGTCTTTTCCTTTTCTTATTACATATGACATTACAAATCAAATAGTCTCTTTTCTCTAACTAATTTCTTTAAACATGTATAATGTTAATACCCCAGTGTAAAATTTTCATTTGTGGAAAAGGATGAATTAGAATCATACAGAGCCGATTTATGCACCGCGGGTCAACGATGTTAATACTCTGGCGATATTAATACCGTACGTAATAATTGATGGTCGTCCGAAGCTTTTGATTTTACTCTGGTTAAATTAATTGTAATATAAAAATGTATACCATGAAATAACAAACCCTAACACATTTCTTTTTTCTCGTTGTTTTTGTTTTGGCAGGTCCTTTAGTATGGAAGAGAGTTCTACATTGTGCTATACAAAATTTTAGGTATGCTGGCTGCTCCGCCCTTAACGTCAAAATCCACTTTTTCGTTCTTAGCAGATTTCTCTACCGCACTTAATTTTTTTATGATATCCGTATTTCTGATCAAAATTCAAAATAAATTGCTGAAAAATATACATATCGCAGCATTGTTAAGGCTTGAAAAGGGTGGCAGAGCCTAATTTATACGGGAAAAGATTACTGTGAAATCACACAAAAATATGATTTTTACTGTACTTCCCATAATACCTGAAAATAAAATAATTTGCAACTTTTAACTGTATTAGCATAATAAACCACAATAAAATTTATAAATGAATTTCAAAAGTTGTTAATTAAATCCCATGTAGCTGGTTATAAACAAAGCACTGATCGCGATGAACTTGTAAAAATGACGTATTTCATGTGCTGTGAGAGGCAGATTGAGGAATTTTTTAACAATAAAAAATACCTTTTATAATGAAACAGAGTATTATTTACAGGTTTTAAGTAGTCGATTAATACCAAAATATATCCTTTGTTAAGTGCGATTATTCATCAACTATCAAGAGAATGTATTTTATAAATTATGTCGTGTTTTTATGCACAGCTTACGTGTATTTTACATCGACATACCTCATAAAATCCTACCTTCACAAGGGCATAAACTGCATAGATCTTAACCATTTTTTGATTAAAGATAAAGGATGTTTTCCTTTACTTGAAAAGTGCTGCTGCTTTTTTTTAAATCGAGGGCGTGATTTTATAAGTACACAAAATTTTTGGTAAAAGTCAAACATATTTCGACATTGGCCTATTTTTCTTTAAAATTTAACTATTAAAACGCTAATTCTATTCAAAGCAGCAGCACCTTTCAGAAACTATAAAGTATACAGAAACAATTAATAGCTTGAATTTTTAATTTCAACTAGGGTATGCCCTTTCGATATTGAAATTTGTTAATGACCTACATTCAGTACACGAATTATGCATTCATCACGTGACTGTCCATCGATGGGACTCAACTTCATACAGTACAGAGTGGGTTATACTATGCTATTTCCATAACTGTTTAAGGTAGATCGCGGGTTTGCTGACGTCACAATAGGATTTGACGTTAAAAGATTACCGCGTTCTGATTAGCAAGCAAAAATATCTTCAGCAGCATTGTATGCAGTAAAAAGTGAAATATATATTAAAGGTTGTTTGGTGTTTTGAAATATTTTTTATGTAATTTAAAATAACTGATGTTCTGATCAAGGTTGTATTTTACATTATAAGTAGCATTTAACGCTGAAACCTGTTGTGTGTATGTACCTTTCTAAAATACTATTGCCTAATTGTAAATTCAATACAAAAACAGATCCACCGCTGGTGTGTTTGGCGCCTGCCCTGCATTTTAATTTTTTGTTTACTTTAATTAATTTTTTTTGCTCGTTTAATTTAGTCTACATTATACACACTATCTACTTATTTTTATTTGTTCAACAATCATCTCTAACTCCATTTTCTTCGCGATGATGTACGCTTAGATTAGTAATATTTTTATGCGCAACAATATTGTCCGAGTCAAGTACTGGTATAAGAATTTTAAAACGAGAAAGAAATGGACATTATATGGTACGCAAGTATGCTTATCATTTGTACATGAGTTTCTCTTATCGGTGATTTTTTTCTTTTGGGGCGGGGGGGGGGGGGGGGGGGGTTAAATTAGATAATTATCCAAGCGTTGTAAAAACCTTCGATCTACGCCGACGATTTTTGTCGATTTTTTGTCAATTTGTACTTTCCCAAGCTATGAAAATAGTTTTAAATGGTATTTAATAATTAATCATACAATCAACTTCAATTCCTGATCATCTACTTACCTCTCAATGCTAACAAATGGTTGTTTGTGGTTAAGGACGTCGGAATGGAACTCTTTTGAACCGACATAACAAAACTATATACAGGACTGTTTCGGACCGTTTAAATGTAAACAAAGTGTCAAATATAAGAGTTAAATATATGAATTATCATAGGATACCATTCTACAAGCCAGAGAAAGCTTAAACTACACGAAATAAATACCTAAAGTAGCGACAAAAAAATCGTCGGCGTAAATCGAAGATTTTTACAACGCTTGGAGCTGTAGCTCTCTGCTTTATCTGTCCGAATTTTTCTCAAGCAGAGAGCTACAGATCTGCAGCTACAGGAGAGACGTTAATGATTTAGGTAACATCACCAAATAAAATATCACCAACTAAAATATGTATGTCCTATAAATTGTCAACTATAATTAACTCAGGCCCTTTTATTAACAATCAATAGCAATGCGGCGTACAACTGCGATTGGTGTTTTGTGTAGAAGTTGGGTTGTCAAGGCAAGAGTTTCAGGCCCATAGGAAGCAATTTCAGTTATTGGCACAGCTTCTCGTATATATTTTCAGTTTGGGTTCTATCCAGGCACGTAGCATCGTTTTTGAAAGGGGGGGGGGGGGGCAACCAGAGAATTCTTTTTTTAATTACCTGTAAAAGTTGACAAGCAAAAAAAAAAAACAGGAAAGGGGGGGAAGGGGGTAGTGGCCAACTTTTTCCAATGGAAACTTCCTTTTACTTCCAATTTTTTGGCATACAATACTACATATCCTTCATATCACTATACGATGGTTAGAAGTGGGGGGGCCAACCAATCTTTCAGTATACATTTTCAATAGTAAAGGTAATGTAGGGGAAAAAAGGGGGCAGGCCCCCCTGTTGCTACGTACCTGCTATCAACAACCAAAATTCCTCGACAAGCATAAAAAAGGAGGGGGGTATCAGGCATTTTAATTGAGGGGACACGAGTATGTGGTAGTAATTTTTTCTAAAGTATTAATACCCGTTTTCTGTAGTATACTGTATGCTTTCTATAGTGTTCTAAATATCGCCAAAGTAATGATAAGAAATTGCCTTTACGACATTTTGAAGGGAAAACTGAAGTCTTTTAATTCAGGGATAGACAAAAGTAATTCATTCTATGAAGTACGAGGGCCGTTCAAAAATTACGCGGACTTGCTGCACAGAAAAAATATTTGACGACATAATTGGGCAAAATGTCGCACATAATATAAAAAAAATCTTTACTTATATGGTCTACAAAATTTCATATCAAAATGTTGTAAATTGGTATCAATTTTTAGTGATTCTTCAGGACATATCATTAAGTCACGGAGCAGCAATATCTTCGACGTCACAGACATCATTAAAAAATATGTGATTGAGCTTTCAATTTCTCAACATTTTCCCAAGAGTACCTGTACAGCTTGAGTTATCTTATCTACTCAACATCCAAACACCATTTCTTGTTAAGCTTTAAATCTACTAAACAAGTAAAGAATATTCTTTTTTGTTCTAAAACCAAAAGAACTGCAGGTATTATGAATATAGTGTGATATTGGTGACTCTCAATCACGTTCTTTACAGTCAGGATCAAGTTTTCGTCGATAATCTTCTTCCCGTCCTCCCGTATTGCCATTTTTCAGAGGTCTAATGGTCTAAATTTCCTATTTGCTATTTGTGGACGAATGTCACGAATACCCTAGTTTACTACATGTTTTATTATTCATATTTTGGATCTATGTTGGCGATATCTCGAGCATTACACATAATTTAACTAAAGTGTGGTGCGCCGTCATTTCACGAGACGTCATTTTCACAGTCGTTTTCACGGGAATCGCATCAGAGGAAAATCACTTTATTTCTGTTAGTACTTCAAATATCACGCCAGAAATCCAAATACACAATAACAGAACAATTTAAAGATACATTTGAGAAAATTGTCGAAAAATATTGCGAATTATAGAAAATAAATGGTTTAAATTTTGAATTCCAAATGCTTTTGCTTCAGATTTTTTGTCGTGCTCCGTACCTCTCCATCAGCGATATCAATTTACCGATAATTTTAGTAGAATATTTTTAAAATACAGGAATT